TGATGTACTGAAGAACAAGTGACAGAACGTGGAACTATATGACCCAGGCTGGTTTTGAGAGACCAAAATTAAGTCTGTCAGTAATTTCAGACAAAACTAAAACATTTGTCATCTGTTACTGGAAAGTAAGTGTTAGATCCTGTACCAAGGCAAGATAACAGTAAGAATTATTAAGGGATCAGGCTGTCCTGACCGGTCTCTCCCCCCAACTCTGTTGGGAAAACATTTAGGACAAGATGTAATTCAGCATTCCTGTGGTTAACCCCGTTTATCCAACCAATGATGTATGATTTAACCTATCCTATAACTGCCAAACTAAAAAGTCCCTGCCTTTACTGAAAATGATCATACCCCTAACAAATGAGCTTGAGACATCTTTCCCCCTGCTACATACTCAATAAAAACCCTGCTGGACAAGGGGCTCACAATTTCCAACCTGCTGTGTCAGGAAGGGTTGTGAGTCCAGCTCGAGCTATAATAAATGACTCTCTGCACTTACATCGGTGATGGCTCCCTGGTGGTCTTTGTGGGGGGGGGGGGGGGGTGTCTGCGGCCTGGTACTACAGTTTCGAATCCCAGATCTTCCTGCTTCTGTCTCCCTGGGACGATGGGGAGCTGGCCACCGCCACACCCACTGTCCCAGCTCTGGACCCCCGCCGCAGCCCAACCCTCCCCACTGCCCGGATCACCACTGCAGAGACCTGTGCCCTGGCAGAGGACAAACCGAGGGGCAGAGCTGGGAGCCAAGTCATTTGTTCCCATCCAGAGGCCCAAGGCTGGGGGTGGGGGCGAGGCTTACCCTGAGGGGGCGTGGCCATGTGGGCGTGGTGGTTTGTTTCTAGCTTTGGTGGACATGACTCACCGGTGGGCGTGGCCTGTGTGGACGGGTCCTTGTATTGCTCAGCGTGTGGGTGTGGTCTCTGTGGGCGTGGCCCATGGCGTGGTTTACTATTCCTTGCTTTGGTGGGCGTGGCTCTCCGATGGACGTGGCATACATATGTGGGCACGGTAGTTGTTACCTGGTTGGTAAGCGTGGTCTCTGTGGGCGTGGTCAGCATTGTAGTGCTCTTTCCTAACTGCAGCAAGGTCCTGAGTTCAAACCCCGCAAGTGTGTTGGCCAAGCCAGAGCAAAACTCAGGTCCGCAAGGGACCCCTTCTTCCCGCCCTGGGTCAAGCCCTGGCTCCTCCAGCTGCCCTGAGGCCTGCGGGACAGGCCTCGGCCCCTCCCCCGGTCTGCTGGCCTGCGCCAGCCAGGCCAGTTCTCAGAGCCACCGCGGGGAGGGAAAACCTGCCCTGTCCCCTTGAGCTGTCCTGGTGACAACCCGGCTTCTGCCGCCTAGCCCCTACATCCTCCTCCTCCTCCACCACCCTTTCCTCCAGATCTTCACCCACCCCACCCTCCATGGAGACATCCTCGGGCGCCGGCCTCACCCATCCTTGCGTGTCTGCAACTGCTCAGGTGTCCACCACAACATCACTTCCCGATGCTGTGCACAACACTCCCAATTCTCAGAGTGTTGTTCTTTACCTAGCCGAACTCCTATTCACCCTCCATAACCCCACCTAATTGGCACAACAAGGAAGACTTCCTTGCGTCACTCCCTTCTCCCAAGGCAGCATGAGGGATTTCTTTTGGGGATAATTCACAGCATCCAATGCCACCTCTATTTATATACACCCAGGTCTGTTTCCTCTAAAAGACTTTCTCTTGAAGGCAGAGGGTACAAGTCAGAAGCCATGATTAACAGGCACCTGTGGCTCACTCCTGCCAACCCAGCTACTCAGGAGGCTGAGATGTGAGGATCAAGAGTTGAAGCCAGTCCAGGCAGGGAAGTCTGAGAGACTCTAATCTCCAATGAACCACAAAGAAGCTGGAAGTGGAGCTGTGGCTCAAGTGGTAGAGAGCTAGCCATGAGTAAAAAAGCTCAGGGACAGTGCCCAGGCCCTGAGCTCAAGCCCCAGAACAGGTAAATGCATGCACACACGCACACACACACACACACACACACACACACAAACAACCTTATGTATTGAATGACCAAAGCACTTACTGCACATCTGAAAAGCATCATTTTTTTTCTTTCTTTTTTTTTTCTTTGTCGGTCATGGGGCTTGAACTCTGGGCCTGTGTACTGTCCCCCAGCTCTTCAGCTCAAGGTGAGCACTCTACCACGTAAGCCACAGCACCACTTCTGGTTTTCTGGTGGTTCATTGGAGATAAGAGTCTCATAGAGAGGGGGCTGGGAAGGTGGCTCAGTGGTAGAGTGCTTGCCTTGCATGCATGAGGCTCTGGGTTCGATTCCTCAGCACCACATAAGCAGAAAAAGCTGGAAGAGGTGCTGTGGCTCAAGTGGTAGAGCTCTAGCCTTAAGCTGAAGAGCTGAGGGACAGTGCCCAGGCCCAGAGTTCAGGCCTTAAGACCAAAAAAAAGAGAGAGAGAGAGAGAGACAGAGTCTCATGGATGTTCCTTCTCAGGCTGGCTTTGAACCATGATCCTCAGATCTCAGCCTCCTCAGTAGCTGGAATGACAGGTGTGAGCCACCGGTGCCTGGCTAAAAGGTGTCATTTCTCATGCGGCCTCCCTCCACAGCAGGCTGTGGCTCCCTGTGCCAGCACATTTGACTTTTCCTTGTTGAGATTTCAGCAGCAGCTCCCACACTCTAGGGTATAAGGGGGGGCGGGGGTGCCAGGGTGATCATTTCAAATGTGTCATGAGGGGAAAACCAGCCTCTCAGCTGGAATTTCTACATGAGAGAGAAAAACCCAGCTCAGGAAACACTGTACCCCGAGATGGGCTTGGGGGCAAACTCAGGCTGAGACACTCCAGGGACATGCTGGGAGGGAAACCCACAGGCATGCAGCCCACCATGCCTGGCGGCCACGGGGGTGGAAGGGAGTTCGCGCACCTCCGCCCCAGGCTGAGTCAGGCAGCCCCAGCCTGGCCCCCAAGTGTTTGGGAATCAAAGGCACTGTGTGGACAGAGGGCAGGGCTGCAGCTGCCCCTGGGAAGGAAGGAGGAAAGAGGCTCCACCAGGCACCAGGGTGGAGCTCAGGTTTCAGTGTCAGCCTTAGTCTGGGTGACTGGCACTGCTGGGCAGACCAGACAGGGTATCCTGCACTGCCCACAGGGAAATCAGACCCTAGCCTCCTCTCTCAGACAGGGAGTCCACACCCCAGCATCCTCCCTCAGCCCCAGGGGTCCAGCTGTGGACTGACACTGTGCCTTTTCTAGCTCCTCGCTGATGGGCAGTGGCGTGGACATGTGCTGAGCCACACACCAGGCCACAGGACTATGACACAGACTCCCAGAGCTCTTGCCAGCTCTGAAGGCTGAAGCCATGACTCTGACAGCGGGGTGAAGTAATGTGGCCTGGGAGGAGCAGGCAGGCTGCAGGGTAAATAAACACAGGGAGAGACCACAGGGAAAGGGATAGGGCGGAAGCCATGTTAACCAGCATGGTGAAATGTTGACATCAGAGCTAGGACCATGAGGAAGGGCAGAGAGAATTCCGCCCAGAGATGAGGGCAAGTGCCAAGGCCTTGAGGCAGGATGGAGCCCAGGGTTCCAGGAGCAGGAGGGGAGCCAGTGTAGGGACACTCAGGTCAGGGCAGAGGAAGAAATGAGGTGTGAGTGGAGTCACAAAGGTCCTCACAGACTCCCGCTTTTTTGCAAGGAGAATCAGGGGGCCACAGTGGGGGATAACCCCCCGCCATGAGTTGAAAAATGACCTGAACTCCTCCAAGCTTCCAGAGTCCTGTGCACCCAGCGTTGAACAAGCCCCTCCCAGCAGTGTGTGTGTGTGTGAGAGAGAGAGAGAGAGATAGGCTCCTGTGGATAGCCCAGGATGCCCTCAAACCCCTGACCCTCCTGCTTCAACCTCCTGGCTGCATTATGCCCCTGGAGATATGTTTTCTGTCAGTCACAAAAACACTTTCTAAGTCAATCTATATTCTCCAAACGCTCAAGATGCGCAGCAACAACTGCAGTTGCTTATTTGTCTTCACTGTTGTTGTTGTTGTTGTGTTTTTCTGAGTCTCACAAGCAAAAGTAATCAAACCACCTTCTCGCCTTAGCCCAGTGCTGAGATTACAACAGCTCACCACCATGTTCAGCTACAAGGGGTGATGTTTTGGAGGGAAATTCCCAAATGGAGAGGGAAGGGGAGGGGGGAAGGATGGGGCTCAGAAACAGCAGCTCTGGTGGAAGATCCCCAAGCAGGGAGCAGGGACTAAAGCTGGTCCCTCACAGACTCAGCCCTGATTTTTTTTTTCCAGTCTTGGGGCTTGAATTCTGGGCCTAGGAGCTGTCCTTGCGCTCTTCAGCTCAAGGCAAGCGCTCTACCACTTGAGCCACAGCACCACTTCCAGTTTTCTAGTGGTTTATTGGAGATAAGAGTGTCTTGGACTTTCCTTCCCAGGCTAGCTTTGAACCGTGACCCTCATATCTCAGCCTCCTAAGCTAGGACTACAGGTGTAAGCCACCAGCACCCGGCTTCAGCCCTGAATTTTTTTTTTTTATTTTTGCCAGTCCTGGAGCTTGAACTCAGGACCTGGGCTCTGTCCCTCAGCTCTTCCGCTCAAGGTGACTGCTCTACCACATGAGCCACAGCGCTGCTTCCCGCATTTTCTGTGTATGTGGTGCTGAGGAATCAAACCCAGGGCTTCATGCATGCGAGGCGAGCACTCTATCACTGAGCCACCTTCCCAGGCCTGAATTCAAATCCTCTTCCATACCCTGCTGTGACCAGGACTGGAGGCCTAACCTCTCTGGGTTTGCATTTCTGCACACACACACACACACACCACTGTGTGTTGGAGGACCTGGGCGCAGGGACCAAGCTGACCTGGGCACAGGTGTGAGGTCACCCTGTAGCTGTCCTGGTTGCCTTGTTACAGCCCCGCCTCCAGGGCCCAGCCCCGCCCGCCCAGCCAGTGCCAGGTGAGTGCTCAGGTATGTGGAGGAGGAAGGCCATGCCAAGCTAGTGGAGGAGGAGGGGACAGCAGACACCAAGAGACGGACACCAGGGCCAGGGCTGAGAGCAGGAAGGTGCTGGACAGGTAAGGAGCCCCAGCCCTGGTGGGGGGCTGAGGGAAGAGGTTGGGTCTGGACCTTTGGGTCTGAAGGAGGAGGCTGGGGCTGGACCCCTGGGTTTGAGAGATAAGGGCTGTGCCTGGACCCCCAGGTCTGGGAAGAGGCTGGGATCTACATCCCTAGGTATGCGGGAGAAGGACTGGGGGGTCTTAAACTTCTGGGTCTGAAGGAGGAGGCTGGGCCTGGACTCCTGGTTTCTGAAAGAGGAGGCTGGGATGTGGATCTCTGGATCTGAGGGAGAAGGACTGGGGTTTGAACTTCTGGGTCTGAGGGAGAAGGCTGGGCCTGGTCCCCTGGGTCTGAGGAAGGAGGCTGGGAGAGGGTCTGGGCAGCAGGTCAAACGCTCACATCTTCTGCTGCTCCTGACACCTCCAGGTGGGCAGGAGCTCCCGTTCGGGCACCATGAGCACCTCAGGGTGAGTGCTGCCCCCCTCCCCCACACCCGCTGATCCTGTTCCCTCCCTGCCGGGGTTGGGGAGGAGGAAGGGCCCTGTGCTCCCTGCCCAGCCTGTGGTCAGCCGAGGGGCGGGGGCCACACAGGGCTGGGAGCGACTCTGGCGCCTCTGGGAACTCTACTGCTCTCATGGGACCTGAGGACGATTTTCAAAGTTGATGGGAGGAGGCGGGCACTCTCCCCCCACTCCCACCCACACCCCCCCATGCCTCCGCCATGCTGTCCTCCCCTGTGTCTGCACTCTGCTTGACAACCAGCTTGTGACAGGGACTGAAGATCCGGGAGGGGCTGAGGACACAGGCAGCAGGGAGCACCCCAGCACCTAGGCGACCCGGCTGTGCACAGGGCTGACAAGGGCAGGACCCAGGGCAGGACAGGAGGTCTCTGCCCCCCACCAGCCCCATTCTGAACTTCTGGGGTGTCACAGAGATGGGGCTTTCAGGGCTCTTAAGAGGAGACTGGGCCAGGCACTGGCGGCTCACGCCTGTCATCCCAGCTACTCAGGAGGCTGACATCTGAGGCTCACGGTTCAAAGCCAGCCTGGGCAGGAAAGTCCATCAGACTCTTATCTCCAATGAACCACTAGAAAACCGGAAGTGGTGCTGTGGCTCGAGTGGTAGAGTGCACGCTAAAGAGCTGAGTGACAGGGCCCAGGCAGAGGCTGAGGACGAGGGAGAGACAGTTCTCTCTGGTACCAACTCTCACGTAGTGAGCCACATCTCTGTGGTTGTCTCCCAAGCTACAGCCCCATCAGGCAGCTGCTATGTGACCAAATGGGAAACTGAGGCAGGGAACATTAAGTTCCCGCCATACCCCAATGGTCTGGGTTGAAGCAGCACAAAGGGGGAGGATGCAGGTATTCCTGACGGTGGAGACATACGGCACCACACCTTGCTGCTTGTCTCCAGAACCAGCTTAGACGCTGCCCTCCCTGCACTAGCTGGGAACCTTCCACAGCCCCCACGACTCATGACCAAGTCTGTGTGCCCAGCCTGGGCTTCCTGTAGAGTCTTCCCTCAGTCCTCTTGTTCTCTTTTCAGCCCAGAAGCTGCCCCCAAACCAAGTGCCAAGTCCATCTATGGTGAGCTGGGGGCCAAAGGCACCTGTGATGGAGGTTTTGGATGAGAGAGGCTGGTGTTTGGACCCCTGGGTCTGAGGGAGGAGGCTGGGGTCTGGACCCCTGGGTCTGAGGGCAGAGGGCCGCCCAGGCTCCAGTCACATCCTCTTTGTCTCTCTGTCTCCTAGAGCAGAGAAAACGCTACTCCACCGTGGTCATGGCTGATGTGTCCCAGTATCACATGAACGTAAGTTTGGGGAGTTGTCTTCCGGGGAAGAGGTGGGCTTGAGCCACTGTTGAGAAGAGTTGGGCTGGGCCTGGTGATGGGGTACAGGTTTGTGATCCCAGCATTCGGGAAGCTGAGGCAGGAGGGTGGTGTGTTTGAGGCCAGACCTGGCCGCAGAGTAAAACAGGGTCTCAAAAACAAACATAGAGGGCTGGGAATGTGGCTCAGTGGTAGAGTGCTTGCCTCAGGTGCATGAAGCTCTGGGTTTGATTCCTCAGCACCACATAAGCAGAAAAAGCTGGAAGTGGCCCTGTGGCTCAAGTGGTAGAGCACTAGCCTTGAGCTGAAGAACTGAGGGACAGCGCCCAGGCCCAGAGTTCAAGACCCATGACACACACGCGCACCCCATAAATATAAACTGGCCCATTGAAATCTGACTTTCCTCAGGAACAAGTCCTGCGCCAGCCCGGGGGCAAACAGCAGCTCTCCTGGCTGACCCGGGGCGGCCTGGCTGCAGACCGGGGACCCGGCTTGTGCAGTGGGCAGTACAGAGGCCCGCGTGGGGGGGCCGTCCCCGCGTGGGCCCGCGTGGAGGCCCGCGTGGGAGGCCGAGCTCACCCCACGTCCCCGCGCTGTCTGTGCCCCCAGCACCTGGTGACCTTCTGCCTGGGTGAGGAGGATGGCGTGCACACTGTGGAGGACGCCTCCCGGAGGCTAGCCCTCATGGACAGCCAGGGCCGAGTCTGGGCGCAGGAGATGCTGCTGCGCGTGGCCCCTGACCACGTTGCGCTGCTCGACCCAGTGGTCAAGGTCCGGGGAGGGGAGGGGCGGGTGGGGGTGGACACGGCTGACAGGACCCCCGGCGAACCCCCACCTGTGCTTCCGGGTGCACCCCCCCAACCCTCTGGCCGCGGTCCCGCCCTCCGTGTACCCCACCATCTACCCCGCCCATCCCCGCAGGAGGAACTGGAGTCGTACCCGCTGGATGCCATTGTGCGCTGCGACGCTGTGGTGCCGCCGGGCCGGAGCCGGGCGCTGCTGCTCCTGGTGTGCCAGGAGCCCGAGCGCGCGCAGCCCGATGTGCACTTCTTCCAAGGCCTGGGCCTGGGGGTGAGCGGGAGTGAGAGGGGGCAGGGAGGCGTGGAACCGGGCGGAGCGTCGGGGAATGGGGGGGGCCTCGAGGAAGGGACGGGGCCTCGGAGAACGGGGCGGGGCCTCCGGGGACGGGAGGAATGGGGCGGAGCCTCTCGTTTAGGGGCGGAGCCTTTGGGGCAGGGCCTATATTTGGGGAGGAGTTGCCTGCGTTTGAGACGGAGCCTCTGGGGGCGTGGCCTCTCACTTTGAGCGGCGCCTCCGGCGAGGCGGGCCCTCATGTTGGCGGGGTCTCGCGGTCAGGGCGGCTGTCTGGGGTCTCGGCTGTCCAAGGGCAGGAAGGAGGGGGCCGGAAGGACGAGACTGCTCTAGGAAGGAGAGGGGTGTGCGGACCAGTTGGGTCTGGGGAGCAGCCAGAATGAGGGTGCAGGCCTTGTGGGCCAGGACAGGGAACAGACTCGTGTGCTGGATCTCCATGGCGAGGTCGTGGCTAGATTTAGGGCCTGGGCGCGAATCCAGGCGTGGGCGCACACGGGTCCCCACGGGTGGGTCAGCGAGGGCAGCTCGAAGCCTGGGGCTGGGCCAATAATAATGGGTGAGGGACTTGGCCAGGGCCGAGGAAGGCGTGGCCTGATAGCCCGATTGGCAGGCGGAGCTTATCCGAGAAGACATCCAGGGGGCCCTACACAACCACCGCTCCGGCCGCGGGGATCGCAGGGCAGCGGCGCTCAGGTAAGGAGGCCGCAGGGCGCCGGTCTCTGGGGAGCCGACTCCCTCCCCGCGGTTGGCTGGGCCCCAGTTTCCCCTCCTCCCTCCGCAGAGCCACGCAGGAGGAGCTGCTACGCGGGCCTCGGCCCGCAGCGGAGACCCCGCCCCTGCAGCGCCGCCCGTCGGTACGCGCAGTGATCAGTGCGGTGGAGCCGGCCCTGGCCCGCGGGCGACCCCAGGTGGACCCAGTCCCCGAGACTGAGGAGACCTGGAGGCCCGGCCGAGTGTCCACTCGTGAGCGCGCGGACCCGGCCTCCCCGGACCTGGGCCCCCGGGGTCCAGAGCTGGCCAATCTGCAGGCCGAGCGCGACGTGGTGAGCAGGGCCTGGCCAACTTCTGGGGTCCGAGTCGGACGGGTTGGGCGGGGAGACGTGGGTCTCGGTGCGCGCGGTGGGTGGAGTTCGGTTCTGGGGGCGTGGTCTCTGTCACGGCCTGGGGGCGTGGCCTTCCCAGGCCGCGTCTGGGCGCTCAGCCCCGCAGGTCTGGACCAGGAGGGCAAGGGCCTCCTAGCCTGCCCAACCTTAACCCTCGCAGGACATCTTGAACCACGTGTTCGACGACGTGGAAAGCTTCGTGTCCAGGCTGCAGAAGTCGGCCGAGGCCTCTCGCGTTTTGGAACACCGGGAGCGAGGCCGCCGGACCCGGCGCCGGGCAGCGGGGGGTAAGGAGAGCCCCTAAGCAGAATGCCCCGGTTCCCTGACCCATTCGTCCGCCGCCTGCCACGGTCTCCCCGGATGCCCCCCCTGCCTGTGTGATGCGGGCCCCATGCCCCTCGTGCCCACGCTGATTCACTCCACAGAGGGCCTGCTGACGCTGCGGGCCAAGCCACCCTCTGAGGCCGAGTACACCGACGTGCTCCAGAAGATCAAGTACGCCTTCAGCCTGCTGGTGAGGACAGACCCAGTCCTGGGCGTCCGGGGTGGGGAGGGGCGGGTGGCGAGGGGCGGCCGGTCCACGCACGACCCACGCGCTCCCTCCGCCCCAGGCCCGGCTGCGCGGCAACATCGCTAACCCCTCATCCCCGGAGCTGCTGCACTTCCTGTTCGGGCCACTGCAGATGGTGAGAGCCTCCCCCCGGCCCGCACGTCCAGCCTGTGGCCTTGGAACTGAGGCTGGACTTCCCTAGGATTGGGAGGCCGACCAACGCGCCTGACCTTTTGGCAGATTGTGAACACGTCAGGAGGCCCCGAGTTTGCGAGCAGCGTGAGACAGCCACCCTTGACGGCCGAGGCGGTGGCGCTGCTGCGCGACAACGTCACTGCGCGGGAGAACGTGCTGTGGACCTCGCTGGGGGACTCGTGGACCCGCCCAGGGTGAGCAGAGGCGGGGGGCGAGATGAGCTTGAGGAGAGGGCGGGGCTGGAGGAACGAAGGGGCGTGGCTGGCAGGGGTATGGCTAAGGAACCCGGGGGTGGGCTAGGAGTGAGGGCAAGTGCAGGATCTGATTGGAAGAATGACCACATTCGCGTGAAGGAGAGCTTTACTTCACCAGTGAATCAAATTGGAGCAAAAGGTGGGGCTTAGGAAAACATGGGTTACAGAGAGAGGTGGCCGCGTGGAGGAGGTGGGTGTAGGGAAATGATGGACTGCAGGGAGGGGCGGGGCCGCGCGAAGGAGGCAGGGCTTAGGGAAAGCCTACGGGGAAGGGCGTGGCTGCGCAAGGGAGGCGGGGCTTATGGAAATAATAGACTATAGAAGGGGCGTGGCCGCGTGGAAGAGGCAGGGCTTAGGTAAATGATGGGCTGCAGTGAGGGCGTGGCCGCCAGGAAGAGGCGGGTCTTGCGGGGGTATGGCCTACGAGTCTGAAGAAAGTAGCTAGAAAGGGACCCCCTACCCCGGGTCGCTGACAGAGGTGAAATTCAGAGGCGGGGAGGACATGGGAGCAGAACCAATGTATTCAGAAACTTAAATTGAGTTTCTGAGTGGAACTTAAAGGTCGGGGCAGACAGAACTGGATGGAGACTAGAATCGTTGGGGACAGAGATGTTCGGGGGAGCGGAAAACCCATGACTGGGCTTCTAAGCCGTCTGTTCTGCGTCACAGGCTGGAACTGCCCCTAGAGGAGGGCCCCTCGTACAGCCCCGCGTTCTGCAGCGGCTGGGAGCCCCCCGCCGCCGACCCGCAGGGCCGCCCCTGGGAGGACCCGGTGGAGAAACAGCTTCAGCATGAGCGGAGGCGCCGGCAGGTGCGGCCCGCGCTGCCCTGTCCACCCCCCCGCGTCCTTCCCCCCCCCCCCGCATCCCCCGAGCGATATGGCAGGACTGGGTCTGTTACTTCAGATGCAGCCCCCTCACCCAGGCTCTCTTACTCTCCACAGCAAAGCGCCCCCCAGGTCGCTGTCAATGGGTAAGTGTCCACTCCATGGAGGACAGGGCGGGGGGGGGAGGGCGATCCAGGAGGGGTGCATTCCCAAGGCTCCCCAGGATGACTGCGCACCCCTCTTTTCTCTCTTTTTCCCGCAGGTGGGTGAGGTGGTGAAGAGGCGGGGCCGGGGCGGGGCGGGGCGGGGGCGGGGGGGGGGGAGAGGGAAGGGTTGCCGGGCTTCAGGGTTGCAGGGAGGAGGGTATAGAGGCCTAGGATCCTGAGGCTTAGGGCCTGGGAGTGGGCAAATCTGAGAGTCAGGATCCCTGTGCCCTCAGAAGGCGGGAGGGGGTGCCGCTGGGAGTTTGAGGGGCCTAGGCAGCTCCAGGCCTGGGTTCCCAGGGACAGAGTCCTAGCTGGGCGTTAGACGGAGGAGGCTGGGGAATTAGATAAGAAGAGCTGGGATCAGGTGTTTGGGGTTTTGTAGACTCATGTGAGACTTGAAGGGCTTAAGAGCGAACTTTGTTGAAAGTTAATTAGTAGGTTGTCCCTGGACCTCATAGAGGTAAAGGCTGAGAGGAGAAATGTTTCCCCTTCTGGAAGGCTCTAAGGAAATAGCCCATGTCTGTGCTGCGTGCTGCCTGGGAAGCTTTCTGGGCCAAAAGCTTTGGAAAATTGAAGCTAGAGACTTGGATTTCTGCCTGGATTCCTGAGAAGGGAAAAGTCTAGGGATCCAACTCCATGGTTCTAAGCTGTGGAGTTCAGCATCTCAGACTCTCAGGGAGGAGGCAGGAGAGGCTGGAACTCTAGGGTCCTGGGGGCAAGAAGGGGACAGAGGAGGAACTGGTGTGAGATGAGAAGGAGAAAACAAGCCAGTGAGGTGGGAGGAGGTGAATGGGGTCTGGGTGAGGGCCCAGCAGCGAGTCTCAGCACAGACAGCATGCCGGGACCTGCCGGCCCCACACAGGGGGCGCCGCGGCCCTGAAGACCCCCCCTCTGTCCTGCACAGGTAGGCCTGATCCAAACTGAGGTCCCTCTCATTGGGGGTCAAGAGCCAATGCTCCTCCTGGCTGCATGGTGTTGCAAGGCTCCCTCTGTGCTTCTAGATCTTGGCACCTGGGTTTGTCACTCACCTTCTCTAGCCTCAAGTCTGGGAAACAGGAATAATGATAATCCCTTCCTGGAAAGGTGGGGAGCTTGTGGCTTTGTAGGGGCTAACAAAGAGCTCAAGACTGTGGCCTGGCTTGGGTTCAAAGCCTCTTGCATGAACCTCAGGAACCAGTTCTCCAAACATGGGCTGCATGAGGGAAATGTCCAGCCTCTCTTCTCTCTCTCTCCCTCTCTCTCCCCCCCTCTCTCCCCCCCTCTCTCTCCTTTCTCTCCTCTCTCTCCCCTCTCTCCCTCTCCCTCTCTCTCCCTCTCTCCTCTCTCTCTCTCTCACGGAACTTGAACTCTGGGCCTGGGCGCTGTCCCTCAGTTCAAGCAAGTGCTTTACCACTTGAACCACAGCGCCACTTCCAGCTTTTATCTGCTAATGTGGTGCTGAGAAATTGAACTCAGGACCTCATGCATGTGAGGCAAGCACTCTACCACTGAGCCATTTTCCCAGCCCTCTTCTCTCTCTTTTGCTCTCAGCCTTGTATCTTCCCTTCCTTCTAGCAAAACTGGAGATTATAGTGAGGGAGGAAGGAAAGAACTGGGGGACAGAGCCCCCAAATTCATGTTCCTATTCAGGAGACCCCAGTTGGCCAGACTTTGTCCTGTGCCTGGCATAAGTGTTGGCTAATGTTTTTACTATGTGCATGACTGATCATTGGTGAATCCAGCATCTAGTAGCTGGTCAGCCACACAGACACATAGAGTGGCTGCTTTGCTTCCCCCATGGGGTGGAAGTGGTGGTAAAACCCCACATTATGAGCTTGCAGCACAGTGCCACATCAGGAAACAGGTAACACATATCCAGGCTCTCATCCCGTTTCTGGTCTCTATGAATGCACTAACCTCGCCCACTGGCTGTTGTAGCCCCTGCTTGACACTAACCCCAGCTCTCACAGTGAGCCCAGACCAGTGAGGCTGGCTGCCTCCTAATCCTCAGCCTTCCCAATTCTCCTCAGTCACCAAGACCCAGAGCTACAAGCTGAGCCCCAGCAGGAGCCGGAGCCCGCAAGAAAGTGGGTCCTGTGTAATTATGACTTCCAGGCTCGAAATAGCAGTGAGCTCTCAGTCAAGCACCGGGATGTACTGGAGGTTAGGGGAGGGGGGCAGGGTGGGATCTGAGATGCAGGAATCAGCCCTCCCAGCAGCCCTGCGGACCCGGGCCCTGAATTGCTCCTCCTACCCCATCCAGATCCTGGATGACAAGCGCAAGTGGTGGAAGGCTCGGGATCAACGGGGTCAGGAGGGGTATGTTCCCTACAATATCCTGACTCCCCACCCCGGACCCCATGTGGACCACAGCCAAAGCCCTGCAGGAAGCCTGGTGAGCCGGGGCAGACTCCTAGGTCTTCAGGGAGGGGAGACTAGGCCCAGACCCCTGGGCTTGGGGGGCACATGAGGATGGGGGAGAGAGAGTGGAGGGCTGGGCCTGTCTTCTCCTGATCCAGCTACTCTCCCCATTCCCCATAGGAGGGCAGCGCCCCGCCTCCCCCGCCAGGCCCGGCTCCAGCCCCGGCGCCGGCCCATCCCCTCTGGAACAGCTGCGACAGTCTCAACAACTTGGACCCCAGCGAGAAGGGTGAGTTGGGGGGGGGGAAGAGACACTGCCTCAGGGGAGGGGACCTAGCCCTGGCTTTCCAGGCAGGGAAACCGAGGCCTGGCCCTGAAGGTGCGTCCCTCCCGCAGAGAAATTCTGTCAGATGCTCAGCGTGAACGAGGAGCTGCAGGCCCGCCTGGCCCAGGGCCTCCAGGGGCCGAGCCGCGCTGCCCTGGGGCCCCGCGCCCCGGAGCCACCGCTCAGCCCCAGCTCGGACAGCTCAGAGGTCCACGCCTGGCTGCGGGCCAAGGGCTTCAGCTCTGGGTGAGTGGAGCCCGGCTTTGTCCCTGGTGAGGTGCGGAGCCCAGAGACGGCAGCAGCCCTCCACAGTCTCCGGGCGGACCGCCCGCGGGAGTGGGCCGGTCCTGAGACGGCTCCCGGTGAAAGGCTCCGTCCGGAGTCCCGGGACATCCTGCCGGGTTTGGAGCGCAGGGGTGTGGAGGGGGCTAGCTCCTTAAGCCCCGCCCCCGCCTGGGGGACTAGGGCGCTGCTGATTGGGTCAGTGGCAGAGAGGGTGTGGCATGCAGGCAGGACAGCGAATGGCTGTCCTGCTTGACCACGCCCCCCACCCCTCAGGACCGTGGAGGCGCTGGGGGTGCTGACAGGGGCGCAGCTCTTCTCTCTGCAGAAGGAGGAGCTGCGGGCCGTAAACCCCGCAGAGGGGGCGCGGGTGTTCAGCCTCGTCACCGTGCAGCGGGCGCTGCAGGAGGTGAGCGCCCCGCACCCAGCGCCCCGGGGCGGGCCGGTGGGCGGGCCAGCCGGCAGGCCAGCCGGGAAGGTGTTGATTTCCGCCCGCCCACCAGGACAGGGAGAAAGTGTCGGAGCTGGCGGCCGTGATGGAGAAGCAGAAGAAGAAGGTGGAAGGCAATACCGAAACAGGGGTCATCTGACCCCGCCCCCGGCCCATCCACGAAAAGTGATGAGAGCCGGGGGGGGGGGGGGACACGGGCCCGCCCCCCTCCCGGGGGTGGGCCTACATCCAGGAGCGCGGCGGTCCCGGCCCAGCCCCGGCCGCGCGAGTGGGGGCGGGGTCACGCTCGGGACGCCCGGACCAGCCGCCCGTCTATAAACAGCCTCCTCTCTACTGCAGTGTCGCCTGCTGTCCCCTGACCGCCCGGCGTCCAAGGGTCCCCACTGCTCCCAGCTGCTCTGCGCCCCCCCGCCTCGCCCCCCACGTTCTGGTCCTGCCCCTCCTCACCCCCAGGCATTGCCATCTGATGGTTTTGCTGGTCAGGACGGGCTTTCCAAGCCTGGTGAACTCCTAGACAGTCTTGTTACCCAGCTCAGATACCCTGGAGCCCCGTCTTCCAGTACCCCAGTACCCACTCCTCTACCTTGTCCACTCCAGAGGTCCAGTCACAGAAAGGGCAGAGCCATCTCTGCATGCTGGGGGCACTGCGAAATCTGCCCCCCTTCCAAGCCTCATGTCCAGTCCCCACTGTCCCCACTGTCCAGCAGGGCTGGAGGACCAGGCGTCCCTCTGCCTCCAGGAGTTACAGCCTGAGTCCTGGCAACATCCTGGGGCCTCTAGCAGCTCCCTTTGGAGGTGGACGCCCCCCCTACCCCACCCCAGGGCCCTGGAAAATCAGAGGGCCTCTGAGATAGCCTGGAGCAGACAGGAGCCTGGGCTCCTCATGCCTAGTTTCATCCTGGAACATGGGCTCCTTCCGACGTCCAGCCCAGTCCTACCCGGTACCAAACACATGCACCAACTGGTCCCAGCGTGGCACTGACTGCCTATGGCTAATGACCAGACTCAAGGCCTGCTTCCTCCTGCTGGCGATGCCCTGGCTCTGTGGTGGCCTCCCAAGTGCTGGGATCACAAGCATGTGGCTGCCATGCCCAGCTGCCACTTCTCACTTCTAGTAGAGGAACTAGAAATGCAAATAGTTATGTAAACCACCCTGTTCTCCACACTCTTTCCTAATGAGGGGTCCTTGAGCCAGGCTGCAGGCCAAAATGCCTGCAGGAAACAGTGAACAAGCTAGCAGGCCACTTCTTACCATCTTCACTCTATCACCTGCTCCCAGCCACCATTCTTTCCAGATGGGATTTCACCTGTAGCTGGCCTGTCACCCCCCAACCTCCAGTCTACTCTCAATGCAGCAGCCAGGATGTCCCCCTAAAAGCCAAGGTGGATGAGGTATGGTGGTCTGATCTGGCTTAAGTCCTCAGAGCCCTGGACTGCACAGCACTATCAATGGCTTTTGTTTTGTTTTTTGGTTAGTCATGGGGCTTGAACTCTGGGCCTGGGCACTGTCCCTCAGCTCTTCAGCTCAAGGCTAGTGCTCTACCACTTGAGCCACAGTGCCACTTCCAGTTTTCTGGTGTTAATTGGAGATAAAAAGAGTCTCATGAACTTTCCTGTCCTGGCTGGTTTTGTTCTGTGAACCTCAGATCTAGCCTCCTGAGTAGCTAGGATGACAGTTGTGAGCCACCGTGCCCGGCACTTTTTTTGTTGTTGTTGTTGGTTGTGTGGCTTGAACTTAAGCCACAGCGCCACTTTTTTAAAGAATATATGTTTCCAACTTGTTTGCCCCCAGTGGCTTATCTCAACATGTCAGAACTGCTTCTACCCCAGGGCCTTTGCAAAGGCAGCCCCCCACCACATCAAGGACTCAGGTACACAACTCACACCCCACCAAGCTCAAGGGTCTACCTCCCCGACCACACTGCACCACATGTACCATGTGCACACCCCACAAACCTCCCCCGCCTCACCATGGGCCAGGCCTCTCCCCCAGTGTGCACGCGCACACACACATATACACACACACCCAGCAGGGCCTCTCCAGCAGCGTGGCCCTGCAGCAGTACACAGAGCCGGGCAGTGGAGTACAGCCAGTACTGACTGCAGAAGTCACACATGTGCTGCTCCAACCTCTGCTCCAGACCTGGCTGCTGGCACATTTCCAGACTGTCTATGTGAGTCATCTCAAATGCTAAATGTTGACAATTGACTCCGATCTGTTAGAAAGGCTGCTTGAGCCCAGCATGTCCACAGCCCCAGCCGACCCTCGTACTTCACCTCCAACCACTTCTGCCTCACTTAGGGCCCTCACTCTCACAAGCTGCTCCTTCTAGAGTATTCCTCACACCCCTGTGAACAAGCTCCTTCCCACCTGCAACACCCACTCATATGACCTATTGATCCAGCCGGGCGCTGGTGGCTCACGCCTGTCATCCTAGCTACTCGGAAGGCTGAAATATGAGGATAATGGTTCAAACCCAGCCCAGGCAGGAAAGTCCGTGAGACTCATCTCCAATAAACCAGTAGGAAACCAGAAGTGGCGCTGTGGCTCAAGCAGTAGAGCACTCACCTTGAGCTGAAGAGCCCAGGGACAGCGCCCAGGCCGAGTTTAAGACCCACGACTGACAAAAAAAAAAAAACCCTGAGCTCCAGAAACAGCGCCACCCACGCCCCACCTGTGCTGGCTAAAGGCATGGAGTGGCAATGTTATCGTTTTTATTTGTGCCTGTGCTTTGTCTCGAAAATACCTTCTCCCCCTCCCCAAAACAGGTGGGGAAGGGGCAGCAAAAATAGAAGACATTCCTCCCTATTGCACATGGACCCTATGTCCACACCCAGTCGGCAGAGGCTGGGCAGGACTCTTGGCACATTCCTGGATCCCTGCTTGGGAGGGGTGCTGGGTGGCATCACACGTGCAGTGGGCCCCGGTGGCCGCGGGTCTTGGCAAGTGATCCCCGGGCTGCTTGATCCTAGCTTCCTCCTGGTCCCTTCTCTGGCCCCCCACCCCCGTCTCCTTTTGGCAACATCCCCCTACCTGGCTCAGCCCCGCCTCCCTCCTGGCCTGGGCCCCCTTGACTCCTAGCCTCTGTGCTTCCCTCTGGGTCCTGAGGTCCCCAGAGGGGGTTATGGCTTCTCAGGGGCGTCCCCCGGAGCCCGGTCACTCGTGGTCACGGGGGCGGGGTGCATGTGTCAGAAGCAGCTGCGTAGATGCGGTGCGGGGCTCTGCAGTCACTTGGACAGTTTGCTGATGACCCGGATCAGCGCTGCGTTCTCATCCTTGAGCCGCTGGTTGTCAGCGCGGAGGTCGGACAGGGCCTAGGGCACAGGGCAGGGTCAGTGGGGTCAGCGGTCCACCCAGCGCACTGGGCTTGTCAGCGGCCCAGCGCCCACACCCACACCCACCTTCAGTTCCTCCTCCAGCTCCGCAGCCTTGCGCTCCAGGGCCCGGCGCTCCTGGAACAAGGGGCAAGGTCAGGGCGCCTGTGGCTGGCACTCAGGGGCAGAGGTCAAGGCTCCCCAGCCCAGGCAGCCCCCACTCACGAATCTCTCCAGCTCCAGGAGAGCCGGCCTCTCAGCAAAGCGTTCCTGCCGCTGGAGAGGACAGAGAAGGCCGGGTCAGCCCGGATTCCGGCCCAGACCACCAGTCAGACCAGATGCACAGACCCTGGTCCTCTGACTTTCAGGGTCCAGCTCCCAGGCCCAGGCTGCCCCTCACAGCTGGGCAACAGAGCTGGGCATCCTCACCTGCGTGGCTCGCTCCAGCTCTACCTTGAGCTGTGCCAGCCGCAGTGAGGTTTCCGTTAGGGCCTCTCGGAGCCGCTCATTCTCCCGGCGCAGCTCTGCATATAGCTAGATGGGGGGACAGGGCAGCGGGGGGACAGGAGACCAGGTCAGGAGGGCAGGGGCAGGGCAAGGGGGGGCAGGACAGGCAAGGTCAGGACAGGGGGAGGGCAGGCCGGGTCAGGAGGGCAAGGACAGAGGGTGGGGGCAGAAGGCCAAGTCAGGAGGGCAGAGACAGGGCAAGGGCGGCCCAGCATGCAGAGGCAGGAGAGGGGGCATGGGCATGGGCTGCACCTTCCGGAAGCCTCCATCTGGCTCTTCAGGCCCCGGCTGCGGCTCTGGGTGGAGGTCCTGCTGGGCGCGCTGCCTGCGGGCCATGCCACCATCCACGGCACTGTGAAGTGGTGGAAGGGGCACAGGGGTGCGGGCGTCAAGATGCGGATTCTACAGACTAACCAGACCGCCCGGCCCAGCCCACATACCTGCCTTCAGGACTGTAGTCCCCCGGCTCTGCCTCCTCCCCCTGCCGAAAGTCAGAGAAGGAAGGGGTCAGCCCCACCTACTGGACCCCAGCCCCGCCCCCCCCAGGGCCCAGACCCTCACCTCCGCAGGCCCCCTCCGCTCTCTGCTGGCCTTGGGCTTGCTGTGCTCCCTGGCAGCCAGTGGTCCTGGGCCCTGCCCGTCGGGCACCTCTGCTGGGGAAGGGGCATCACTCAGTGTATGGGCGCCCAGCCAGGCCCTGGGGGGAGCTGGCAGTCTGCCCAGTCACTCTGCAGAAGGCGAATCTCACCTCGCTGGGCAGGGCCCTCAGAGTTCTCCACACCAGGCACGCGGGGCCTCTGGGGCGGGTCCTGCAAGGTGGAGGGGGCAATCAGGACCAAGGAGCCTGTACCCTACACAGTGCTCACCTAACCCTGCTCACCAAGCTGAGCATCGATGACCTCTCTGGCTCTGGGGTCTTCCCTGCGGCCTTCTCTGCCTCCTTCAGGTCTGTCAGAGTCACGCCCTGTGGGAGAGGGACAGTCAGGGAACAGGGGACAGTCAGCCAGCCAGGTCTGCCCTCAGACCAGGGATGCAGACCCCAGCCTCCTCCCTCAGACCTAGGGATCCAGACCCCAGCCTCCTCCCTCAGACCCAGGGTCTAGGCACAGCCTCCTCAGGAGACCAGGAGCTGGCCCCCACCTGGGTGGACCTCCGGGACTGGCGCATGAGGCGGGAGCGAGCCTTCCGCTGGGACTCTGACTCCTCATCCCGCACAGGCATCTGGTAGGACCTGAGGAAGGACCAGCACTCAGGTGTGCTCCCCGGGCTCTGTCCCCCTCCAGACACTGACACAGTCAGACAGGAGCTGCCACAGCATGGGGACCCCATGCAGCCTTACCTCCGCCGGTCCCGGGAGTCGGCAGGAACATCGGGCTTGGCTGGGGACGCAGGCCCTCCTGCACAGGGAGGAGGGGGCCTGGCGGGGTCAGACCTGTGTGGATTCCAAGTCAGCATCACTCAGACCTGAGATCTGCACTGGGCACTGGACACAGCAGAACATGCTGCGTGCGCTGAGCCCAACAGCTCAACAAAGACGCAAACCCGGGAGCACAGGAGAGTAAAGAACATCAGGGAAAAGAAACAGCAAAGCTGCAAACATGGAGACTCAGAGACCTTGCCTCTCATAGATGGGAGGGTCTGCAGGAAGCCAGGAGGACAGAGCCAGCCCCATAGGTGTGAGGGGGATGAGAGAGAAGCGGGGGAGGGCATGAAGGGAGGCAGAGACCGAGGCCTTCAGCGTTTCACTGTGTCTGATACACGCAAAGGGAAGTGAGTAGAGTTGGGGGAGGAGGGGCAAAGGGAGAGCACTCGGGGAGAGTCAGGAGGCCCAGAGAGCAGACTTGCCCTGGATCATGATCCAGGACAGACCCACTTCCCCTCCACCCCAACTTGCCCAGAGACTCACAGAGGAGCGGTATCTGGAACCTTCCTGGAGGGAGTAGGGGGAATCCTGGCAAGTCGTGGCTCCCGGACCTGCATGGCAAAGAGCTTGGGAGGTATTCCCTGCCATGGAGGCAGGCGGTGCCCTGCCCTGCTCTGCCCACCAGAGCGGAGGTCCCACCCCGCCCACCTGAGCAGAGGTCCCTTCCACCTGCGAAGAGGAGGCTGAGCGCTGCAGCCCAGCCCCAGGGGCTCCCTCGACCCCCCGCCTTTCTGTGGGTCCCAGGGCACTGGAGCTGCCTGTCTTCTGGAGACCAAAGCGGCGAGGGAAGGCAGCCTCTTCCGGCAGCTGGAGAGAGGAACCACCACCTGTCACGTCACAGAGTCCTCTCCTGAGACACAGGTCACCCACAAGACAAGCAAACCTCTGCCCGCCAGCTCTGGGCTCATGTTCAATGGACCCAAACCTGCAGTCCACCTGCCCCCCAAAACCTGTAGTCCACTACCCCCCAAACCTGTAGTCCACCTACACCCCCCCCAAACCTTCCACCTCCCCTGCTGAGCCTCTCAGTGTGACCTAGCTCACCGCAAGGCTTTTGGGGCCTGGGGACGGTGGGGAGGACACGCCATTGAGGGCCCTTGGCTCTGGGCAGGGAGGTTCTGTGGGGAGAACAGGCAGGAACTTACAGAATATGCCAGTGCCGCAGAGAGCCAAGACCTGGCCTCCTCCCTCAGACCCAGGAGTCCAGGCCCCAGCCTCTTTCCTCAGACCCAGAGGTCTAGACCCCAGCCTCCTCCCTCAGACCCAGGAATCCAGACCCCAGCCTCCTCCCTCAGACCCAGGGATCCAGACCGGCCCCAACCTGTGGGGCTCTCCTCTCCCTCATCATCATCTCGAATGGGGGGCGCCCCAGCCCCAGCAGGCCGGCGTTCCTTTGACAGATCCTGCAGGGAGATCTTCTCACGGCTGCTCAGGCGGCACACGGAGCTCCTGGGAGGCAGCATGCATTGAGGGGAAGCGGGGGCCCCTCTGGCCTCCCACCCAGACTCTTCCTACCTCCGGTGTTTGCCACTCAGGGGCGCCTGGGGCTCTTGGCCTCGGCTCTGCGAAGCCTCTTTTTGGTTCCGAAGCTGCAAGGGAGAGGGGCAGCTGAGAACACCGGCACCACACGCGCTTGCCCAGGCAGAGCAGCACCGGTACACCCGGCCTCGGCCAGCACTCCAGCCACAGAGGGCGCCGGGACTGACGCTTGCTTTCCCAGCCAGCATCAGGAAGAGGTGCCCAGGCCAGGCTCAGGGACTCAGCCCTGGGCTACCCTTCTCCCTACCCTCAGGGCAGCCTTTGCTCCAGATGTGGAAGGAGAGGGCTTGCCTCCTCTCCTTGGTGTCCACAGGATTGCACTAGCCCTGCCCTACCCAGCACCTCCAGCTGTCCAGCGATGCCCTGTCCACAGCCCTGGGCTGTTGCTGGTCCCAGGGCAGGAAGAGAGTGGGTTGGGGGAGAGGCGGGGAAGGGGTCCCTGGGGTAGCGCAGGACTCACATCCTCCTGTTTCTGGGCCAGTTCCTCCAGCAGGCTCAGCACCTCCTCATCAGCCAGGTCACAGGGACGCTGCCCCTGGGGGGGAGCACAAGCAGACAATCAAGCAGGTGAGGGAGCCTCTGGCCCTGCCCCCACCATGTGGCACGGCCCTCACCGCGTGGGTCAGCGAGTCCATGCCCCCTCCATGCTCGGCCAGCAGGCGGCAGGCATCCTCCACACCCCAGTGCGCGGCTGCATGCAGGGGGGTCCAACCATCTCCGTCCCGGAGCTCTGGATCGTAGCCTGCTTGGAGGAGCAGCCTGAGGGCCAGGGCAGGTGATGTCAGGGGCCAAGATAGCCATCTGTGGCCAGTGGTACCAGTTAGAACATTCAACATCCCTGCACTGGCCAGAGAGCCACAGCGCCAAGCTCTTCCTACGGGCTGCTGCCTCTTCCCTTAGGCAAGCAGCCAAAGCTTCCTGAACCCATTCCTCAAATCCCATGAGACCGGGAACTCCCTGGTGGGGAGCAAAGGTGTCCCCTAGAGGAGGTAGGTTCAATGCACCCTCTGCCAGCCCCCAAAGGTAATCTTGGGGCAGCAGGTTCTGGGACCCTAGCTGTCCTAGAGAGAGGATATCTGGCAGCATCATGCTGCCTCCCCCTCATATACCCAGCAGCTTCTCCATCTGCCTGTCGCGCTAGTGAGAGCCTTTTCTCAAGAGAACCTTTTCTCAAACTCAGAGAGATGGGGACTGGGAAAGTGGCTCAGTGGTAGAGTGCTTGCCTTGCATGCATGAGGCCCTGGGTTCGATTCCTCAGCACCACATAAGCAGAAAAGGCCAGAAGTGGCGCTGTGGCTCAAGTTATAGAGTGCTCAACTTGAGCAGAAGAGCTGAGGGACAACGCCTAGGCCCAGATTTCAAGCCCCACAACCAGCCAAAAAAAAGTTCAGAGAGAAGGATGGAGTCATCTTAATTCCATTTCAGGCTTAAAAAAATAAAGTGTCACATAGCAAAAAAGCAGCAAAGGAACCTGAAAAGTGAGTGGGGAACCAGCTCCAACTCCTCTACCATGAGGTGAATGGACTGCAAAGTAACATCCACAATGGAGGTGAAGATGACAAGGAAGAACATACACAACAATGTGCAAAACATATATGCAACCCAGCATCGGTGGGTTGTCATCATAGCTACTCAGGAAGCTGAGGTCTGAGGATCACAGTTCAAAGCCAGCTCAGGCAGAAAAGTCCCCATGAGACTCTTTAACTCCAATTAACCACTCAAAAACCAGAAGTGGTGCTGTGGCTCAAAGTGGTAGAGTGCTAACCCTGAGCAAAAGAGCTCAGGGACAGTGCCGAGGCCCTGAGTTCAAGCCTTGACCAACCCAAACAAAACAAAACAAAAAACCCAAACAAAACAAAAACACATATGCACCAAGTAACACTGCCTTCAAATACATAAAATTTTTTTAAAAAATCAGAATGACAAGGAGGCACAGGCAAAGTTCACAAGTCTGCCAAGAAATGCTGGCATACCTCTTATAGAATCTGATAGAGTAAACAGGGGAACCCTGCCAGGTAGAGAAGATCTGAAGCAAAGCTGACCCCATAGAGGACACAGGACTGACTCCACACTGGCCAGCTCTTATACTGCGTAAACCTCCACAAATTTAAAAGGCTGTGATGGTATCGTACATACTTCCTGACTATAACACAGGTAAACCGGGATTCAGTAATAAATGATGAGATATCTCTAAATAACCCACGGTCACAAGTCACAAATTCCGACCTGTTTTACCTCAATCGCAATGAAAACGTGTAGGTTTAGCTAACGCTGCATTTTGAGGGAAACAGGTAGCCTCAGGGATACAGACAAAGCAGTGAGAGGGCACATGTGGCCCCACTCACCTCATCACCTCGATGTAGCCCTTGGCTGCAGCCACATGCAGGGCAGAGGCCCCAGTGCGGGGGTGCCGGGCCTCTGGCATGGCCCCCCCATTCAGCCAACACCTCGTGTCGTGAAGTAGCAATTCCTCCTCAGCCCGCTTGGCAGCCTCCACATCCACACCTGGGAGAATGAGGACAGGTGAGGGGCGGGGCTCACACCTCCTGGGGCCAAACCCACTGTTCTTCCCTGGGTGGCCAGGGGGAAGGTTGGATGGGCCCCAACTTCTGCCCTGCCCCACTGGAAGCAGCCAGGTGCGGTGCCCTTTGGGATACAGTGCCCTTCAGGGTAGGGAGCCCTTTGGAACTCAGGGAGCCCAGTTTCAAGCCCCGTGCCCCTCCATGCCCCTGGGAAACGCCCACCTCCCACAGTTCGGCTTGTTTCCTCCATCAGTGTCATGTAAAATGACAACCACACAGCATGCACTCTCGCTCTGGGCAGCACATCGGGAAAGCTTCCATAATTATGCACTTTGGGGGCTTCTATGACGGCCCACTTCTGGGGGCTTCCTATGACTGCCCACTTCCCTGTGGCGGGGGAATGCTTCACCCAGCGAATGACACGGCCTCTAAGCCCAGGCAGCACCATCCCAAAGCTCTCGTCCTGGATGCCATGGCCCACCTCGGCGGGCGATCTCCGCCCTCAGAAGCCCCTCCACGGCATCTGACTCAGCCAGGTCCAACGGCAGGTCCCCATCACTGTTGACCGCAGCAATGTTGGCCCCGTGGCTCAAGAGGTACCTGGGGATAGGGTGAAGTCAAGGCTGCCAGTCCCAAGCCCTCCTCCCAGCGAGGTCCCGTCCCCATAGCGCGCCTCACCTGGCAATGTCCAGGTACCCGCAGGAGGCAGCCACGTGCAGGGGCGTCCAGCCCTCATTGTCTGCCTGGTTCACGGTGGCTCCCTGCTCCACCAGGAAGCGCACCACCTCCAGGTTCTCGTCGATGCAGGCCTGGGAGTACGAGCAGCCATCGGTGAGAGGCCAGCCCTCCCCGGCATAGCCCTGGGGCCCTCCACGCACACAGTCCTTTAAGGTACCCCTGGCTACCCCATGGCAGGTGGGCTGGGCACCTGGAGCCAAGAAGAGTTGAGTGGACTCCAGTGGGCATGGGCAGAGGGAAAGGGTTGAGTTTGTATCTAGGGGTGGGGCTTTCTGTGGAGGAGAGTAGGATCCAAATTCAAGGCTCTGTACTTGAGCCATCTCTTTTTTTTTTGGTCGGTCATGGGGCTTGAACTCTGGGCTTGGGCGCTGTCCCTGCATTCTTCAGCTCAAGGCAAGCGTTCTACCCCTTGAGCCACAGCCCCACTTCCGGTTTTCTAGTGGTTTATTGGAGGTAAGAGTCTCACGGACTTTCCTGCCCGGGCTGGCTTTGAACCGTGATCCTCAGATCTCAGTCTCCTGAATAAGCTAGGATTACAGGTGTGAGCCACCAGCACCCGGCTTTGAGCCATCTCTTTAGTTTTGGTTAGTTTTTCTTTTTTTCGTCAGTCGTGGGGCTTGAACTCTGGGCCTGGGCGCTGTCCCTCAGCTCTTCAGCTCAAGGCGAGCGCTCTACCACTTAAGCCACAGCACCACTTCTGGTTTTCTGGTGGTTTATTGGAGATAAGAGTCTCATGGACTTTCCTGCCCAGGCTGGCTTTAAACTACGATCCTCAGATATCAGCTTCCTGAGTAGCTAGGATGACAGGCATGAGCCACAAGCACCTGGCTTGGTTTTTTGGGGTTTTTTTGTTTTTTTGATAGAGTCTCCTGCCCAGGGCAGCCATCAATCTTCCTGAGGTGACAGGCACATGCCACCCTTAGCTTATTAAGATGCAGTTTACTTAAATATTTGACTGGCTGGTCTTGAACCGTGATTCCCCCATTTCCACCTCCCAAGTAGCTGGCACTACAGATGTTAAGCCACCACTCTAACCCTCGTGTGGAACTCTTGAACCTCCCTGACTCAAAGCATCGCCCACAGTGACTACCTTAGAATGGGACTTCCAGCAGTCACACCAAGAAAGGACCCTGGCCACTCACTCCCCGGACTGGGGATTACTTCCAGGGTGTTGAATGGAGAATGCATGGGGCAGCCTGCTCAGGATGCAACCCCTGGAAAGAAGCAGGCCATGCAGGAGGGCAGCACTCATGCCAGTGGTAAAGACAGATGCCTGTCCCTGCATCCCATCCACAGCACAGGAAAAACAAAACAAAAACAGTGAACTTGTATACACACCAGTACCTGCCAGGGACAGAACAATGGTCTGGGGTAGGATGCACATGGGAGTGAAGAGGCTATTTCTGCACCCAGGCTGAGCAATGCAATGTTGAGGTTGTGGGCCTACTCTGTGCAGGGGTTTTCAGGCCCATCCTGTCTAACCCCCTTGTCCCAGGGAACTGAGTGCTAACTGGGCCCCCACAGCACCCAGCCAGCAGTTGCACCAGTGCTGGAGTCCAGGGTTCTCAGGGTAAGTTTACCCCCCCCCCATGCCTTCACTGCTCCCAAGCTACCCATCTGCAGGAGGGAGAGGGAGCTCCAAGGCCAGGAGCATGAAGTCATGGAAACTCAGGCTGCAAGGGGGGCCACACTTGCCCTGGGAACGTTTATTTCCACTCCGTTGCCATGGCAAAGAGAGGGGGGGCAAGCAGGGAGATGGGCCTTTCCCTTTCAAGGACCTGGCCCTGCGTAGGCATCCATGAACGATGGCTGAGGCCTGAGCATCAGGGACCCAGGAATCCAGGCCTGGCCCTCCTCCCAGGCATTAGCCTGCCTTCCTCAGAGCTAGGGGTCCAGACCCCAGCCTCCTCCCTCAGACCCAGCAGTTCCACATCCTTCGACTCCTAGAACCCACATTCCTAGCCACTAATATTCCAGGAGCTCTGGGAGAGAGAAGAGCGTACCAGTTTTGCCAAGTGATGGACAAGCCCCTGATGCCACCAACTAAGTTGGGTGCACGTGGTTCACACCTGTAACCCCTAACTACTCAGGAGGCTGAGATCTGGAGGATCACAGTTCAAGGCCAGCACAAAACGTTCCTTAGAGCCAGGCGCTGGTGGCTCACACCTGTAATCCTGAGATCTGAGGACTACGTTCAAAGCCAGCTCGGGCAGGAAAGTCCTTGAGACTCCTACCTCTAATGAACCACCAGAAAACCGGAAGTGGCCCTGTGGCTCAAGTGGTAGAGCGCTGGCCTTGAGTTGAAGAGCTCAGGGACAGCGCCCAGGCCCAGAGTTCAAGCCCCACGACCGACCCCCCCCAAAAAAAATTGTTCCCTATATTCCATCTCCAGAATAACCGGGGATGGAGCCGTGGCTCAGGAGATAAGAGTGGCAACCTAGCCAGCAGGAAAGCCTGCGTTCAAACACAGTGAATGCGATGGGGAGGAAGGTAGGGCGGAGTGAAGCGCGAGCAGGAGAGGACCGGCAGGGGAGACAACCGCCGGGGACAGGGGAGGAGGCCCTCTCGGAAAGACCATCCCCCGGCAACGACAGCCCGCCCAAGGCAGATGCCCAAGCAGAGGCAGCGAGGCAACAAGTTAACGGCCGGAGGCGGGCAGCCTGCGGGCGGGGGAGGCACGCGGGAGGCTGGGGGAAGATGACAGCCTGAGACTCGGAGGGGACACAGGCGACACAGGCTGAGGGTGCTCGGGGTGGGGGAGCCGGGGCGGCCAACGAAGGCCAGAGCCCGGGAGAGGGGCCTGGGCGGGACGAGGGCCAAGGGGCCGGGTCCGATCCGAACGGAGCGGAGCGGAGGGCAGGTGGGGGCGCCGACCTGGTGCAGGGCGCTGATGCCGTCGGCGTTGGTGGAGTCGAGCACGGCGCGGGCGGG